AGTTAAGCTCAAATCAGAATTAACTTCAGAATCAACAGATTTTGAAATTGCAAGCATATTTTGAAAATGAGAAAGAAAAGATTAAAGATTTATTTGTGATATATCAATAAGACCTACAACTAAACAGACACACATACACACACACAAAAAAATGCTCTATTCTGATGGCTGTCCTGCTGGTTGTTCTCTGATAATCAGCATCAATTTCTTCCTCTAAAAGCTGCTGGATAGTCCAAAGGAATACAAAATAGTCTGTTACCCCCATTCAAAGTTGGGCTACATATACACACAGCTAGATGCAAATGCATTACTTTATAATGTCAGTCACTGTCTTTTCAAGTTGTCTAATTCATTTTCATTTATTCTCTAATGAACATTGGTTCAAGGACAGGTAAAAACTACCACATAACTCAATATTTTTGGTAGTTGTTGCAGTTAGAGTTACAGTACAGCGTGTGATCTTCCACTGAACACAGAATGACCATGCAGGCATAATCTTGGGGCAAATCTTTATAGCAGCAACATCTTCTCTCAAATTAAAAAAAAAAAGAAAAAAGAAAAAAGAAAAAAACCACAAATTTTCAAAACTTTCTAGCAGATAACCTATACTTTTAAGAACTTAAAGCTCAGAGAAATAGGAGATATTAGCAGGTACATACTTCTATGCAATTAAAAACAGATCAAACACCAAGCATTATATACCTTGATCGCCTTTTTAGCTAGAATTCTTGCCAATTTATATTTGTCTTGTTTTGGGGTGGAGAGTAGTTCTTGAACATTTGTAGGGGTTATCCCTACAGAAGAAACAAAAAGCGATCATAATCTAACAATAACAACAAGCTGCATAGGAAAGTTTTATTTCAGTGTTCAGAGGTTATATCTATTTACTTGGTTTTACTATTTAAATATTATATATATATTAAATACATACTTAAAAATAATAATAATATAATGCAGATAATTCAACTCTGAGTGTAAGCACAACTTACAATTAGCTAAAATGGGAGAGAAGAAAAAAAAGCAAAAGAACACAAAACTAAGAACTGATGAAATATCTTTAATGGAAGGCTAGGGTTTGCATTCCTGGTGCAGCTGGAAGTCATTGTGTCTGCACAGGCAACAAGGTACCAGCCAGAAAGAAGGAATTCGGGTAACAGATCCTACCAAACTGAATCTATGATTAAAAGTAACCAAGGGCTTGAAAATATTGCAGACAGCACCAGCGTTGACTTAAGATATCACCAAATCTGCTGTCCTGTGCTACAGCATCTCATCCTCACAGCTGAACAGGGCGTGTGGAGCCACTTTGTAATCTCAATAAGGAAACCAACACAGTTTTTAAAAAAATAATCTTTAGAATAAAGGTTTTATATGGGGTTAAGTGGGAGCAGAGGGAATATTTGTTTTTCTAAGGCAGACAGGTTTGAAGCATCAGAAGTGTGTTGTAACAGCTGACAGTATGGAGTACATCAAGATTTTTATGCTATCTTTTTCTTCTCAATTGAGTCATGAACTTCACTGCTTATATAATACAGATAAAATCATTCTATTTTTATGTAACTTTTTATATAACTCAGATGTTGGAAAGAACACAGAATAAGCACAAAGACTCCAAGGTCTTGAGCCATATTGAATTAGATGAGACTCTTTCCATCAACATGAACAGGGCTGGGTAAATGAGCAGCAGCAGAACATGAATAATTCAAACCAGGACTGCTGGCTAAGATGATAGATGTTCAGAACAGGGCCTGAGTCAAGGCCTCTGTCTAGAAAACAAATCCAGAGCAGTTGATAATAATCTTGGATAATTAATATTGGCTAAACGGCAAGCTCAGGGACAGCTAAAATCAAGTCATGATCCCTGCTCTGTCACAAAAGGCCGATAGGAAAGCAGGGCTACATGTTACCATGGACAATATTCAAAATAGTAATTTGTCTATCAGTTTTGCCTTTTTTCTTCCCAAACTGTTTATATTCACAGGATTATAGGCTGTTCACTAAGGAGCATATAAAGAATCACCCTGACCTATAAATAGAAAGTTTAGATATGAAATAAACTTTAAAAAAATACTCTAAAGAACGCTCCAATAATCATTAAATAGGGATATTTCATACTGGGAGACCTCTGTTGTCTTGAAAAAGAAAGTATGAACAGTAATATTTGGCAAAATTTCATGTTCATTACTTGAAATTAATAAAATCTAATAGAAATTAATTGGTCAATACAAACTATTTTCATCTTCACTTCTTTCTTCATCACTCAATGCTAGCAGGTCTGGTTTTCCTTTTGCATGAATCTGGGTCATCATGGCACATCTAGCTCTATCATTGTTACTTCCCTCTTTGGCTCTTTTCCCTATAAATGTAGAGGCTGTAAAAAAGTTTATTGTAAAATATTACATATTAGCATTAAACACTTACCACCAGTTTAGGGAGAAAAAATAATCCCAAATTCACCTTCTAGAGATATTTTCTTCCCAAGGGACTTCCCACTCAGTGAAAAAAAAAAAAGGAAATAATTGTAAAACCAAACCAGTAAGTGCCAAGTAGCCTGACTACTCTTTTTTCAAAACTATTTGGATTTTTTTATTATTTTTATCTGACAGAATATCTTCAGAAATAAAAATTTTAAAAAATAAATGGATCACAATCTATGCAATCTTTATTTGAGAAATTCATTTAATTCCAATCAGACAGTGAAATACACACAGATAAACTACTTAGTCATTTAAACTTTGTAGTTCCTGGTATGAGTCATCCACGAGTCTGCTTTTCAGATCAGAAAAGGGAGAAATGGAAATCTGACATTGTTGAGGGATAAAATATAGGTAAGGGATATGATAGGGAGAAAGGGATGAAGTTCAAGCAAAAGTCAAACTCTTTGACTTAATCTACCACCAATAAAATCATATACAAGGTCTTACAGAGGGCTTTTCAATGTGTCAAATAAATCAGCCGAAACCCATTCTTTTTTATTATTTTTTCTATTAATTTTCTGACAGCTTAATAAGACACCAGCTACAGCTTGCACAGGGGAAGAGGGAGAGAAACCACAATCCATCTCAGGACAGTATTAGATCCGTTCAGGTGTCTTGTGAAAAACCTCACCTCTCAGCTGCTGGACGAGTGGTAGAAAAGATCTAGAAAACTCCTAAAAACTCACAACTCACATGCATGCATCATCCTTTAACAAGGAAGACCCTTTGGGTACAGAAAAGTCTCTTTTCCTGTTGTAGTGCAGGCAGTTTGCTATTTCTTCCAGATCTTTCATTCTAACTGAGCATCTAAAGCATTTTAAGCCCAAGTTTACAATAGGAGTTAGATCCAACAAAATTAGGTACGCCATCTAACCATAACTAGGTAACATATCATAAAATAGCACGAAAGGCGAGACTTAATAACCTAACTGCAGAGTTTGCCTCCTCCTATGTCCTTATGAGGCAGGTTAAAACTCAATTTAAAAATACAAATAGTCAATGGTCTGTTCTTGTCCCTGGTGAGCTCCTGCAAGAAACCTGCCTGCTGAAGCACAGAGGAGAAAATATCTTCTTGAACCGCAAAGGTTTCTTTTGCTTTGCTGGCTTTTAATGGGCAGCTGAGGAGGGATTCGCCCACTGGAGCCTGGGCACTGACAGCGCCCATTTCTGCAAAGCCCAGCAAGATGCTTCCTACTCTGGGATGCACAAGATCACATGAAACAGTTCCTACCTCTCCTGTTGGAAGGCAGAGGATCATCAAATTTGCTTTTTCAGAAGATGCTTCTGCATGATTTATTAATGTATGGATTTTAATTAGTTTTTTAATTATTAAGCTGAGGCTTCAACTCCTGGTATTAGCTAAGTAGCCACATTTAACCAACCACCTTTCTCATCATTCCTGACAAAAAAAAAAAAAAAATCAGCAGCTATATAAACTAGAAGGGGGACTAGAAGGGGCACATGTTCTTAGAAGGGGAACATTTAAAACATGTCAGAAATACTCTACAAATGACTCTCAATCTTTTCCCTTTACAAAGCTTCATGATGAAACTTTAAAATTTATTCTATCTACATCCTTTTCCAGCCTTCATTTAAAAAAGTTGAATATTTGGATGTAATTTTTATTTTTAGGCTGACCTATCATTATGTCTTTATGATTTTCAATAGAATAATATACTTCTGTGATTGTTTACTCGAGCACCACCATTAGGACAGTATATTTGCCAATACTGAAGGAAATAGGAGCTGCATCTGTAGCTGGCAACATCTTAGCCTTTACAAAATTACCATAGGTTTTATATTTATGGAGAGGTTGCTGTATAAATGCTCTTAAGAGGAACTGCTCTAAACTTGCAAGGGTATCCACCATATATTAAAATATCAGAATTTCCAAACCCAAAACATCGTAGCATTCCTGAAGTGCTCCACCCCCATGTTGTACCTACCTGTTTCTCATCTGACATCTGCTACCCAAAAGCCTACAAGAAGAGATGAGTTTTGCACTATGCCCTGAGAAATGGGTTTGGGTTACTTCAGACTAAAGAGTGAATTTCTCAGACTATCATCTTTCAAAGATACACAACCTCCCCCTCTCTTGTCCCCCCTCCCCCCAAAAAAAAACCCAAACCCACTTTGTCAGTAGTCATCTTTACTTAAATTAAAACATGGAAATTCTTATATTCTCCTAGATCTACTCATTCATATATTCATATAGGTAACTAAGCTAAGAGGAAAGACAATCTGTATGGCATATATCTCTTGGTTAAGTACAAATACTTTCTTAGGTTCTGAAGATAATGTGGAAAATAAACGTATGAAAAGCAACATACCTAAACCCACATGCTCATGAGTGAAAATACTTTCTTCAGATCATCAGTATATTCTGTTATTTGGTGTATTGTTTGTTTGCTGCTATTTTTGCCTTGGCTGGTAGATTCTGTGTCTGGCCACCTAGCTTTATGCTAGCTATTCAGAGCAGGTCCCCTCTCTCCCTTGAAAGAGTCCAGAAATGGAAGGTTAATGGGAGAGAATTTTTCTCTCCAATTATGATGTCAAACCACATTCTGAGTTTCCACAACATAACAAAGTCTTTTATTTTATATAAAAGCAATGAGATGCAAAACAACTTTACAACTCCTACAAAAGTGAAGTATAAGCAAAAATATCAATGACTTGTACTCTCAACTTTACAAAAGCATTTATCAGTGCACTGACTGCACAACTGCAGTTATAACAAACTCTTGCAAATATACGAAGTCTACTGCATATTGTCATATTTATTTATTTAAAGTTTGCTATCAGCATAAATCCATGTGTTGGAAACAACATCCTTGTTTCCAAAGGAATCTTTTGAAGCAACACTAAGACACAGATATCAACAGCAATTAAGTCCTTTACAGTTAAGACAGAGGTGTTAAAAATATTATCAGTGTACTTCAAAATTATTAGAAAGATACATTATTTACTGTATTATTCATTGGCTCCTACTGCTGTAACTATATTGCTGTTTATAAACTGAAAAGTTTCAAAGCCTCAATTTCAACAGTCGTATTGCTGCACTGTACTGTAGTAGCTGCATTTGGAGAATCCAAACTACTGGGCCATCTGCACCACAACTGCTTTCCAGGCTTTATCTTTGTCAAACTCCTTTAAGGTATTATTGGAAACCTAAAAGAAAACAAATTTCAGACATATAGAAACATGAAACAATGCAAATACTGAAGTTCAAACAAGGAAATATTTGAGAATCCAAGGGAATATAAATAGGACTACCTATATTGTAAACTGTTAAAATATTCTATACATTGTAAATGGTGTAGTTTCACATATTGTACCATATGCACTTATAATATATAGCTCTAATAATGTAATTTGCATTCAGTTATTTGAGTTAATAACATTTGTCCAAATCCCCATTTTAAAGATGTTACAACATTTTTTCAAGATTTTTGTGAAAAATGTGACTCAAAACCCTAGCAGCTCCCTAAATACCTAACTCCAAAATCACAAGTCATCACCTACTGTGCAAGTACAGTAGGATTTACCCATGTCCCTGCAAGCAAACTATAGTCCTGCCTAGGAAAAACAGAGGTCTGAGAAGCTACAGAAACTGCAATTGTCACTCATAACATTATTTACATGCCTAAATGCTACAAAATACTCTTTAAAAGGTGTAGTCTTTCTGGGCTAAGTGCTCATTTTAGCATTTAAATCACATCTAGTTCCCCAACACGTTACAAACTAGACATTTTCCTTATATAAATCCCTAGAAGAGAACAATTCAGCCATGACACCACCAATAGTCAAAATGTAACTGGTGGCTGTGGAGGTGCTGCTGTGCTCCGTCTTTTATATAAAAGGAATTCTTAGGACACACACTCGCGAAATTAGTCACCTAACATACAAGTGCAGCAAGGAGAAGGAGGATGTGAGTCAGATCTTCAAGATCCAAAGGTGTAGTTAGGACATGGAGAGAACGGGCAACCCCTCTGCTCACCAGCTCACACCATCAGGCACAGGCAGTCACTCATGCACATGGCCAAGTGGAGTCGTTCCTATCCTCTGTGTTCAAAGATTTTCCACTCAGTTTAGAGAACTTACACAGTAACTCACTCCCCAGGAGTAGGTCTTAGAAACGTCAAATATTTAGCATTCCCATTTCATAGCTCAAAACTTCTGCTTGCATTAGAAGATTAAGCCCATTCCTGTCTTGACAGATGTCCACCTTGTCATGAGGACATGCGGGTGCCATCACCTTGTGTATCCATCACTTTATAGTGATAAATCAACAGCTATGAAGAATCTGCACCCTCGTGGGCAGGACTATGACTTTACCTTAGCACAACAATGGTCCTCATCGATAACTGGGAGTCTAAATAATCAGAACAAAGGCAGCTTTTCACTTACAACTGGTTTTTTTTTCCCCTCATAACAGCACTTACCACATCCCAGTTAACATTTAACAAACCAAATACTACTCTGTTCATTATGAAATTCATTACTGCATTAACATCTTCACGTTTTTTATGGGACAGCTTTTAATCATGACCTGAAATAACACCAACACCAGACAGGGCAAAAAATGTTTTAAACAAGATTTTTTTTCTTAATTTTTGAGGCAATAAAACATGTACCTCTGTTGTTCTGTATTCCGGTTTCTTAACCTGTGAAGTTGTCCATGATGAATCATACAATTTCATTTTTGTCTTGTAATTCACACACTGTATGACAGTGCCAATAGTAAGGCATGCCTGAATCAGCAGCATCAGCATCAGAAGCAACAAGAGGACATCATAAGATTGCTGAAAATAAATACACAGATAATTTGTCAGCCAGTCAAAAAAAAACCCACAAAAAAAACCCCAAAAAAATGTACTTTTTGTTTTTCCTGCTCCTATATTCTTGATAGTTGTATCTAGATTTCATTTTTTCCTCAGAATACAATTTAAACCTAACTTCAACATGAATTGAGGACCTAAAATATAGAATTTTGTTCTAAACACAAGAGATTCCTATACCTCAGGAACCAGGACACTCCCTAGAACAAGAGAGTCAGATTCAAATTCCTACTGTAATGAAAGCTCTTACATTCCATCAGATCCTATTGAACTCCATCTCACCCCTTTTGAATAAATAAATAACTAGGTTACATAGAAACCATGTTTTTACCATAATGATCCAAAAGCTCTCTGTAAATGTATGAGAACACACTTAAGTCCCAACTTTATTTTACAAAAGCAGAACATTCGAATCGGAGAGTTCTACAACACAGCAACCAAGAGCCCGCTGGTCAGCACAGGAAGTCACTCAACAGCCCAGAGAGGTGCCCTGGCTGCCTGCATAGGCTGGTGGGTTTAACTGGGTATCTGTCCTTTTTCTTTATGGGAGGAAAAAGAAAAAAAAAAAAAAAAAAGCAGCTCGTTTTCTCCATGTTCAAGGGAATATTCCTTTAATCAATTAATCTAGACACTATGTGAAATCAAAGAACAATGCTCAGTTACTATCATCGCTACTTCACACCCTTCTATTCACTTTTCCTAAATTTGGGCTGAATTTTCAGTTTGAACTAAAACTGAAATTTGGGTTATCTCCTTATATTTCCTAATTCATTCTGTCGTCCTACTTTAATGGTAGATATTAATTTTTCAGTAGCATAAAAATACATACTTGAGCAGCAGGTGGGTAGTTTTTAAAGATGTCAACCACCTGTATGATACTGAAGGATAAGTATGCTGAAGCTGTGAACAGCAATGGAGAGGTGACGCTGCTGATGGCGATCAGGACCTCGACCTATTTAAAATAAGATAATAAATGTTAAACAAGAGAAAGAAGTAGCATCTTTTTGTCTGCGAGCTGTAGGTGCTTGCAGCAAACATCACAGAAATACCCAACTAAAATCAAGCAAGGCAAAATTTAAGATCTAACCACTGTAAGAAGCACAAGTTCGAATAAATTAAGTTTGCTAACCAAAACACTGTTCTGTACTTCATTTTCCATTTAACATGGATGACTCGCTTTGTTCATTTGCTTGTAAGGGTCTTTCATATGCAGATGGAGAAACAATACCCAAAATGCAGTGAGCTGGTACAGAAGCATCATTTATTTTTCAGTTTGTATGAAATAATAAGAATTAACAGCAGATATTACAAGCTTACAACCAAAAATAACTATGCAAATAGCTTTAAAGTGCTTTGAGGCAAACTTATTACAATACAACAGCAGGCTATTTTTCATTCAAATAACATCCTTACAGGATAAAATTCTGACTTCAGTTGTGGCCATGCATCGTTACTGACTTAAGTATGCTTGCATGACTGTAATTACAGAGACTTAATTACACACCTGGGACTCAAGGGATAACTGCACTACACTGAGCATTCTTAGTCTTGGTTGCCAGTCAAACAGATCAGGATTTTGGTCAGAATATGCTCTAGGACCACTTCAGCCAGCACACCTGATTTTCTTCTTTTACAAAAGACATGGCTCACAGCAGCAGGGAAAGGGAAGAAAGGAAGAGAGGGAAAAAGAAAATACCTACCTCAGGCTCCCTCTCATAACATGCTAGATATAAGAGTAGGCACCTCAGCTCAGAGCATGAAAGCACTTCCAGAAATACCACGTGAGCTATGTCTATTCCATACAGTAATATATAAAACTTCACCAAGGAACCAATACAAAAGAAAGTCATTTGACTTCTCTTCTGGAGTTGATGGAACTCAGTCTCCAAAAGACCTGCTGGATTTCTGTTTAGGAATACCCTCTTACATTTGTGCTACACATTTCTGTTATGTTTTGTAACAATAATTAAAAGCAAATGGACAAATATGACTGGTGCTCACTATAAGGGAAAGGCATTTTCATATTATTTCACTCTAATAACAAAATGCAAGGATTTTAGACACCTACCAAACATTTACTTGGATATTCAGCAGCTACATGGCTTGCAATAGCACTTGGAAAGCACTAAAAAGACAAAAAAAAAAGTGTGATAAAATCAATCTTAATCTAGTTTAAAATTACTGAGGACTAAAAATTTATCAGAATATAAGGACCAAAGTATCATGAACTGAAATAGCACAAGAATATTGCATAAAGTATTAAGCATAATCAAGTCTATTTTTTAACAAGCAATTTTTGATTAATATAAGGGGCAAATAAATATCATGCTAGAGAGAAAAAAAATAAAATCAAAGACATTCTTTTAAAAGACGGTGTTCATTTTGCATTACTTACAGCAACTAAGATCCAAAAGAACGTTACTGAAAGATATGGACCTGAGACTAGAACATCCATATTCAAGGCAATTATTCCACCAAATACTGAGGAAATTCCAATAATCACCTCAATCACCTGAAACAGTGTGAGCAAACAAACTATTAACAGTGTATTTGAACAGTAAATTTAATTTTTTTGTGTATATAGACTCACTGGAAGAAGAAAAAAATACGCTTATGATATTAACTATGCAGGAAATATTCTGCAAATGTAAAGGTAAATGCAAACATCTTTATTAGCTCCACTGAGAGACAGTACTATTTAAACTATTTATTCTCAAGTCATTAAGTAGTCTCTTTTCTCCTGTACGTGGCAGTTATCATTTATCTTACAATACTTACTATAAAAGGATAGATCTCACAGGATTTTTAGGATAGATCTCACATTTCTGTTTTAAGTCTGTTCTTCTTGCTATTACTCACACTGAACTTCTTTGGCTTAAAATTAGTTTACTGCCTGGAAGCATGAAAGATAACAAACTGATCTTATGGAAGAAAACAATGTTTTTCTTACAGAGTATGACTTCAGGATTCGAGTTGGAAAGCTGACATTGCTCAAAACAGCGGTATTGTCATATGCAGTATTCTACAGGGATAAAAAAAGAAAAAAACATGACCAGAAGTATGCAAAACTGTAAATTTCTTCTAATATCCTGCACAAACCATTATAGTTTCTACTGATAGTTTCCACTGATTGATTCACTGATATAGTTTCCACATCCATCATAATAAAAGACAATGATATAGTTTCTGTTTAGTTATTATGTGACCACTGTTCAATAATGACAATCATCATCTTTTCCCTTTTCCACCTTCAAAATCTCAAAACACACTGTATCCCTCAGCTTTCCACAATTCTTCCAGATTTTGCTGGCACAAATAGTAACTGAAATAGGGCACTGCTTTCTGCACAACTCAGTCTAGTAAACTATTTCTACTCAAATACATGATGATATAGCACAAATATTTGCTTCATAATTATGTAAAGCAAGTATACTGTGGTAGAAAATAGGGAGTAGGATTTGGGACAGCAATTCTGATTAAAGATAAACGGAAAATTAACTAATATTCATTGTACTAATACCAATAAATCTTTACATGTAAAGAATACTTTCTCCACCCAAGGATTCAAAACATTATTACTTGCATTCATACAGGTCACTGCATTTTAGTATTTCATGAAGCTTTGCTCTTGTATACATAAAACAGTTGCTACAACTGTTCATAAGATATTCATACAACCCTGTGCTGCGTAACTGCAAAGCTGCTCTTTGCAGAAGGCTCATGGCACTCCTGAAGAGAGTATTGCTGTATAGTATAGTGCTTCTAGTTATTGGTCAAAGCTAGTTTTACCACAAAATATGGAATTATACTAGAGTATTCAGTAACTTGTCAAGTTACAAGTGTCTAGTATTATTAATGGTTACTTAGAAAAACAAGCAAAACAACAACAAATAAACCCACAATGTTTTCATTCTTAAGGGTACCTACTTTCTTCCTGACGCAGCAGTCTTCAGTAGACCTAGCTGAAATGATCACAGTAGTTGCCATGAAGATTTCCAGCAGAATAAGGAGAATCAAGTTGAAATTTATCTGTCAGCAGAATCCCAGACATGAGTTAAATCTTTCACATTAAAAAATAAGAGGAATTGGGATCCAGATGGATCCAGCGGTTGATCTACTTTCTGTGACATTTAGACACTTCTATTAATAAGGTTTATTGCTCAACTGTTTCCTTCATTCTTGGTAAATCCCAAGGGCAACCCTTAATTGTGCACAGAAAACTTCAGAAGCCTAATCTGAGAAAGAGCCATTCATTTCATTTATAGAAATACTGTGACTAAAGCAGGTTTTCTTACTGTCTTCCAGGAGAGTACCTACTCACTGAAGGGTAGCTGCTTTGTGCTCTTTCACTCTGCTGCAGAACGTCCCATGTGAAACTAGAGCATTGCAGCAAACCATGAACCATTGAGATGACCCAAGAGAGGGCAAACAAGAGCATGTGGCAAGCCCAGCGATTAAGGCAAGCTGCTGGGAGGGAAGGAGGGCCACAGGCTTCCAAACCCTACAGTGCAATCCCAGGAGTGTAACGGGATTCAACTAGTGCTCAAATCAAACACAATCAGAAGAAACAGGGAATTGCATGCATTGCAAGCAATTCAATTGCAAATGGAATCTGTGCTCATACTCCTCGCAGAGTGCTGATGATCTGAGTACTTTACATTTCTTTTCATTTTTGTATCACCTGAAAAAAAGGGTGCAACTACTTTAAGCGACCTGAATCATGTTCTAGATGCTCATGAGTCAGGCAGACTGGATTTCCCATGGTAAGTTTTCTGAAGCAGAATGTTTTTTCACTGGCAGCACAAGGAGACACTTAGTGCTTAGATCAGACCATTGGGCAAAGTACCAGGAGTTTCAGGAGGCTGCATCCCCTTCAGAGCCTATCCAATCAGAGCAAGCCATTGCTCAACGATTTGGAACAGAAAGATATTGTTCCCTCATGTCAGGATTAAAGATCAAATCTGCAGTTCTTCTCTAGCATATGTCTTGCAGCACAAGTTTTTTGAAAAAGATCTTACAGATCTGAGAGCCTTTGGGGGCACTGAAATTTGTCCATCTCAGGAATGTCTATGAGAACTATGGACCTCATAGCAGATGATGGACTGTGCAGTTTTGCTAGATCCACAACAGCAATGAAGGTCACAATGGTGAAAATTATTTGGCAAAAGCAGGGGTCTCAAACATGTGGCCTGCAGAACAACTTAATCTAGCCTGAAAATTCCCAGAATTCAGATGTCAAATTCAATGTGTTTTGACTCAAATTTCTGGTTCTGACATAGGCTGGCAAAGCTACACTGTACAGTGCAGCACCAAGTAGACACATAAGTTTGGGTCCAGATATTGTTACAATATTTTTTTTTTCATGTGACATATCCAAAATATCAGATAGGACCTTCCTTTTATAAAAATACTTCAACAGCCCTGAACCAAAGTGAAAGGATCATCTTCAGGTTTTTTTTTTCATTTTTAAACAGTAATACAGCAAAAAATAGAAGTAACCATCTTTCTAGGCCATTCATAATGGAGGAAAATATGTTAGATTTTCAAGAAGTAAAGAAAATTTGCATTTTAACTACCACTTGCTTGTATCAATTCAATTTCTGGATAAAGAGAATCAAGTAAGTTGTGGTCCTAATCTTTCTCCATGGCAATGGATATGCAGTGTTACTGGGTAAAAAGTAGTAGAGCATCACTACTTGAATCCAATTTGCTTTGAATAAGGACCACATACGGTACCTTGGAAATGTATGAAAAGTAGAAAATATTTAATCTTGAACTAAATTCAAGTTCTATTTAGTTGCATGTACATTAACATGTACATTAGTACCATCTGAGACATGCTACAGATACTGTGGCATCTCCATACGTCTGACATACTCAGAGGACCAACAGGAGACTGATGTCCTCCCCGGACATCAGGCAGGCAGGCAGGTACCTGCCAGGTAGGATAAGTTAGGGCACAGCTAATGGTGGCAGACACTTTACATTAACCACCTAAATTAGGCACATTACAGTACCTATAGGAAGCCAAGATGTCTAAGCTGTCATTCCATTCCATGGAGAGCTAGACGACGCAGTCAGTGAAGGGACCTTCCAAAAGCTATTCAGCCAACCAGTCTCTAGGGACAGGATTAAGTTTATAAACACTGGAGTTATAAGCACTTATAAGCTTATAAGCACTGTAACACAGGCTTAGGATGCCATTTGAGATACCCAAACATACTGCATATGCTTGCATAAATGTAAGGATACATAAATGTATGACATGGGGCTTACAGCAGACTGCCAGGTGTCCACAGTAGCACAAAGAATACGTCACACCCCATAAAACGAAGAGAAATATCTATGGCCACTGAATCCTGCCCTAGGCATCTACTTTGAGGTGAACAGGACCGTGGATTTGGGTTTCTGGGTCTCAGGCACAGGAACATTTCCACTACAGTGGAAGTACAGGCACTTAATTCACACAGAGACAATTAAATGCATGGACTTAATTTGGATTTACTCTGAATACCCTTCAGGGTCTAGGCTCCTTTAGCTGCAGTAACCAGCCCACACAAGGTTCAATTTCTAAATGCTCCTTCTTACCCACCAACCAGGCTTCCTACTGTGAGGGCTGGGAAGAAAGAGGGTGGCAGCAGCGGGCAGTTTACATCCTTCACACTTTGAAAGTTTCCTATTTTCTCTACACTAATCAAATTGTCTAATACAATCACAGTCCAGTATGTGGCTTTTATTTTGAATTGCATTTATCCACATAGGAAATTCTGTAAAGTTACCTATCACCATGAGCACTGCTGACCAAGAATTACCAGGTCCTCTCTAACAGTGTATTTTTATTAAAAAATAGTAATTTCCCTACTTACATAGTTTGGGTTTGGGGTTTTTTGTTTTTGTTTTTTAAAAAGAGCTTCACTGCTTTTCTAATTACTGGCAATGATTTCACATCAAAGCCAATATGGTTTTCTTACGCACTTTCCCATGGGAAGGAAAAGAAAAAAAAAAAAAACGATGATGGAAGAGCATTTAAAGGGATGGCATTCCACATGTTGTTTACACCACATGGGTAATGGAAAATAGCTGTACAAGGGCGCTGCCAAACAGCAAGACTACTTCAGTATAATGGTATTCTTCCAAAAGGAAAGCATGTCAGCACTAAGAGTTACATTATGATAACAAGGTACAAGAAGGTTTCAAAGACAGCTTTGCATACCTGGTTATTCTGACTTTACCCAGTGATCTAGATCATAGTAGCAACATAAAACAGGTATGTGGAAAGTATGAAAATAAAAAAAAAAAAAAAAAAGTGTTTTCTGGATATTATCGTAGATCACCACCATTTGACAAATGCAGAATTTAATTATTCTTGCTATAAATTTCATGTTTGATAGCTACACTTTTCTAATCCTAATATAATCTCTTTTTCCAAATGGTTTGGTTTGTCTTGAAAATACAAAGGCTTTTAACATTTAATAATACAGTAATATACATTTTCAAGCAAGCTAAAAACTACTCTGAAGGGAAAACATTTCAAAAGAATGCAACTAATGTTCTTAAGTACTGGATCAGCTCACAGCTCCTTCAAGCATAAGCAAAATTAATTTTGTCACAGGAGATCACAACAAAATAATCCACTGCAGCAGCAAAATGACTCCCTCAGGCCTATCCTTCCTGGGCAGACATAGCCCTCCACTACCCTGACAAGTGCTGGGCTTGCTTACTAAGGAAAGGCAATGGAAAGAGCCTGATTTTTCTCCAGACATACTTCTCTCAGAATTTAGGACTGGTTTCTAACATTTCAACTCCCTACACAGCAAAGGTAAAACTGATGAAGCCAATATGCCTATATCCTGGCTTATCACTGAGTCCTGAAAGCCTAAGACACTCAGGGGGAAAAAAGACATGAGGAAACTGCTATAACTAGCAAAAACCAGCAAAGGCTGTGCAGAGAACTGTGGCTTGTGTAAACCAAGAAACACATAGGACCTACAGGGGCTCAACTGTATACAGCTCTCAAAACATTTTTATCACAGACAAAAACAAAGCTGCATATTTACTGCTTGGTTCAGGCAACCAGAAAGAAATTTTAGAAGGTTGTGACTCAAAAATACACAACTTTTCTCAGCATTAAATATGTGTGCTTCAGATAACATAACAGTGTATTTCACATTGTGCTGGTATAAGGGAAAAATGTCTGTGAAAATTAAAACTATCCATTAAATAAGTCTGTATTAAACTGAAGACGAAATGTCCTAAAAGTACCACTGGTTGGGATGTTTTCTCATTTCACATAATTAAACCCTAACAACAAGCTAATCCACAGACAAATCAACCGGATCACATAGGAATATCTAATTTCTGTTTTGGATTTATAGACAACTTCTGGAAAAGGCAGGAAAACCATCTCTGCACTAATCTCCTCTAAACTAGCTAGCAAAATCATTTCCATGTTAATCTCCTCTGCTGGCTGTACTGTGCATCTTTTACCCTTTTCCTTCTGATCGCCACTTTTCAGTCCTGCCTTATTCAGATGAGACAATTACTGCTAGACAACCTCTTTGCACTGCTGTATTAACAACACTGTAATCACACATGATCTATACATTTTTCTACAAGGACAAATGGAGATTGGTTAGTAGTTGCCTTAGTGACTTACATTTATAGCTGATGGATTGAAAACAAGTTTGCATCCAAACCAAATTAAGCATGTTGTTGTAACAGCAAATGTAGAGACGAACAGAATCTGAAAATTGGGTATCTGAAAAGCAATTTCAAATATGTTTCTTTCTCATTTTACATACAGGGGAAAAAAGGGTAAAATAGACAATAAAAATCTTCCGCTTACCACATTAATTTTATTTCTTGCTATAGCAAAGCTCACAACAGCTGAGGGAACACACTAGAAAAATTAAGAAAAGACTTGTAGAATATTCTGCAAAAATATTTTATAGATTTACATATATGATTTTAATTAATTATGGTTACATACTGTAATTTAATAACTTAAGCAAAAGATCAGAAATTCTGAAAAGAAAAAAAAAAAGAGGTCTCTACTGTCTACTTCAAACTACATTTGAAGATTACAAGCATTTTAAAGGAGCTCTCCATACCCCTCAGTTTTGACTAGCTACCTAGCACAATGACCCTTTCATGAGGCATTTTACGTCTTTGTTAATTCTGATCAACTCTAGCAGATCTGCAGTGCAAAGGCAGGACTCGAAAATGTAACTCTGACTATACTCAGCCTCTACACTTTAAAAAGACAATGTCAAGGTTATTTAAGCTAAATTTGGGGCAATTTCCACAATAGTACGGTTCTGAAGAATTGTGTAAAACTAATCTGCTGTAACTAATCTAACTGTATATACACTTCAGAGCAGAGCTAGATCTTCAGCAAGTTGTACTGTATAGAGCCAACTCTATCTTACAGAAATATATAATGTTGCAACAATCTTTTGAGCTAAACAAAAATTCAGTAAATATATTTAAAATATTTCCACATTTAAGAATTAATTCTGTAACAAATACTGCAGTTCACTTTTTTTTTTCATATCTAAGCATTGGCAGCTTAACAACAGAACCAATATGATTAGATTAATATCTACATCTAAAATCCTTAGCCGCACTTCCTCAACACTTAACCTATCTATATTTAACATTATTAAAACTAATATATAGATCCTAAATACCCTGGAATATCTCAAACACAACATGACTAAATTACAACTGAATCCCATGCAGTCAAGATGGTCAAAAACCCAGACAGCATGTCAGTCCATTCTAACTAGATATTTAATAGACACTTAGATACAGCTGTATTCTAAGCTATTCTGGCTATATCATCTCCGTTGTTTTTTGTAGGAGTTAGGACACCTTGCTCACAGTCACACACCCAGGTAGAACTCAGTCCTGCCCGTACTGACCCATTCACCACGAACATAGAGGTGATTTATCACCTAACCTTCTGCCCCTGTAAGATCTGTGAAAATTCTGCAAGAATACAGAAAATCTGTAAAGTTCAGAAGGCAAGATTTTGAAGGCAGAAAAAGACACATCTGAATAATGACACTAATAATTCAAATCATAATAGATCAATGAAGGCATTAACTTTAAAAGTTAGTTCAACTTTACTAATAATACCTCTAAAAGAAACACAGGCAACTGCTCAACTGCTGGCACAGTGTTCAAAGTAAATTACCTCTCTTGCACCTTACCTAAAGCAGACTTGCAAGTACCGTTGCCAAAATACCAAAGAGACATCAGAATCTTGTCACATACAAAGCAATTACATCAGATTTATCTCATCTACAGAGATCTGAAGAGAGGGTTAGGCTTATGTAATAGAGTAAGACAAAAAAAATTACCAAATAAAAAGTAAAAATTATGGGAATTTTAAAATACAAGACAACTTTAATATATACTAAACTAAGAAAAGAATATTTAAGAGAACTTTTTTAGGATGCTTTCATACTTGGATATTATGGTAAAGCACACTGAAGAGCAGATGTGTTTGAAATACATTCTGATAGCAGTTAGTCAAGAAAATCCACAAGTATGTAGCAATGCAAATTTTCTTAAAATAGGGAATAGAAACACTACTGGAAGCTACGGATAGATGACTGCCTACTGTGATCATGTTAACTGACCACTAGCTATGACAACTGTAATTCCCTTAATGATGCGATGAAAATTCATTAATGAACTGTTAAATAAAATTAAATCTTCCATGAAAAAAATAGTACTAAAAAGACAATGGAAAATATGTTTATTATGGTTTTGTTGTCAAAAAGTCACAGCAAATAATTAAGAATGCTTACTGAACCTGCTGCACAACGTAAATAATCCATTTCAGATGGAAAAATATTTCCCAGATATAGTGAAAATCCAGAAGTAATAAGGAGGCAAGTCTGCAAAGCAACAAATAACGCAAATTAATATGAATTAAAATGATGTTAAAAGAGCAGCTAGTCAGATGGAAATTAATAATTCCTTTCAGATGGAAATCAATAATTCCTTTCAAAACAAGCTACTGTTGAACATTAACAGTACTGTCTTCATATGAAAAAAACTGAAGCAAAATATCAAATACATTGAGTTCTGAAGAACATGCCTTGCTGGCTATCAAGACTTAACATTGCACAATACAAGTGTGTTTGAATGTGTATGGTGGTACTGTGTACCAATTTGGCAAACAGCTAATTAAATACTAAAAAGATAATTTCTGACAGTTCAGAACCAGTTTCAGAAACCTCACTTAAGGTTCCTTAAAGAAACCTCACTTGGTTCTGCAAACATTCATTATGCAAAAGGACAGCTAGGATACTGATGCATCCGTAAGTGTTGACTCCTGCTGCTTCCTTTGCTAACCATTCTGTTAATCTATAATTATCAGAACTACATTCTCAATATTAAATATCAAATATATTTTACTAATATTTTTCTTCTTGTTTTTTGTTTGAGTAGACATTTTTGGAAGGAGTTGAGGTAAGTAAGAAACAGAATGGCTCTTTTGTTTATTTAGTCTTTTTCATGTAACATTATCCAGGTCTTTTAAAAGTCCCTTCAAAAGAGGGATGAGAGAGAATTATAATAGTGTATATGCATGTATAAACACACAAATATACATAGGGAGAACTCTGACACTCTGCAGTAACAATATTTATAAAAGGCAGCTTGAAACTGTGCTTGGGCATATTGAACTATTCCTGCACCAGAATGGTCTGTGCTGAGAGTGGTTATGGAACAAGCAGCAGACACTTGGATGTCACCCTATGGTCTGCAACTGCTCCCTGAACCATTACAGATTTGTTCACAATGTAACTTCTGTTCCTTAGCACACAGACTTTCCTTTCTGGACCTCTGTTTCAGATGAATTGAAAGAGAAGGGGCTCTTTATTATTAGTCTCAATATTTGGGGTTAATATTGTCTAATTGAAATTTATCAGGTTGATTTGTTAGAAAATTCATACTTCTTGACAACACAATTTCAGCAAATGAACATTAATCCCAAATAATGCCTAATCATGCAAAACTGGGTAAAAAAAGAAAGATCTAATTAAAGAGTTATCCTTTTTGACAGTTAAGTTTGACAGTCTCTGGAAAGATTTAAAGCCAAGAAAGTTACCTCTTCTTTTAATAGTATATCTAAAGGAAAATCCAGATTCTCAAGCAAATCTTGTTTTCATAAAGGGGAAAAGATGTCAGAAGTTTCTATCAAAGCCAGACAGGGATTTCATTCATTAGGCAAAAATAAGTATTTACTGTAGTTAAGCTGAAATAAACGTTTTCAGCTCTTGTAAAAATTATTCTGTAAAATACACAGGCTAACCGAAAATGGAAGGGGAAAAAAGCCATTATTGCTGTATTATGCTTTAATTATCATGGGCCAGAACGTGAAGAAGAATATGGTCCACATGCAAGACCAGTGCTCTACTATGCTAGCAGTGACATAAAAAAATTACATCATTATCATGAATATCAAGCAGAGAAAGAAGCAGTAATTAAATATCATCGTTTTAATGCTAAAACGTTATTAGGGCAAGCAAACTATCTTTTAATAGTTAAAAATATATTAAAAGAAGCCACAGGATCAGGCTGCCTCACAAAAAAGGTGATGTGCCTACATACATATGTGGTGATATCTTACCACTCTGTTTATGCTGTAAAATTAATTGTAAGGATAAATTCATCTCTCAGATAGACTATTTGACAAATATATAATTATTCAAAATTTACCATTAGCCAAGTGTAACATTTTCTATTTGCTAAACGTGTTCCATTCTGTACTAATGTTTATATTCAACACTACCAATAATGAAATTGTTATTCAGCAAGTAATTTGAAAGAGGGCAGATTTCTAAGTACTGAAATTCTAAAATTTAATACGATTTAAAGTACTCACTCCCATCAGCAAAGAGAAGATCCACGTTCTATAAATAAAACAAGGATGTAGCCGCTTTGATAGCTGAAGATCACTAGATTTAATATCGGGGACATAATTTCCATTCTCTTGTTTTCCACGCTCCAAAGTTGGCATCCTGTCATAGCTAAATTCTTCTCTGTAACCGTCTTCCCTGGTCATAACACTTCACAAAGGTAATTAAATGATAATAATCATGGGCAAAGCAAATGATGTAGAAAGATTAAAAGTATAATTTAGTTTCTTCACACTTAGATTCGTGCTAAACTGTTTTTCAAGTCTATGCAGGACACGGCAAATACAAGTTATAATTAGTATTCAACTGCATTTACATTTCACAGTACATTTCATAGATAAGCGTACTAGCAGTTGACTTGCACACAAGCACAAAACATTCTATAGCTACAGTTCATAATAATTTAGTATGAATACCAAAAGAATAAAGTTTGCTATCTATGATACTTCAATAGACGAAGATTTAAGAAATATATCTGGATATTAAAAAGTTGGAACTTTTCACTAAAATTCTAAGACTCAAATGCTTAATTTGGGGATTACTCTGCAACCAAAGCATTCTTTTCTTGTTAGGACTTTTAACTGTACTTTATTGGGCTTTTATTTGATTTAACATTTGTTATTAGACATCTAAAATGATCCACTTCACTAAGACACAGATAAACTAATATACTCACAGTAACTCAGCTACAGCAGATCTCGTTTTTCCAAAAGCACCTAGTGTCAAGCATTTCACTCACTCCCTTAGCTCTGTTTCTGTTCATATCACTGCTCGCTAATTTCTCCAAATACCTTGAGAAATCAGTTATATTAAAGTTATAGCACAATTTTCAACAGTCAAAACCCCTCATGCTTACCTTCAACTGAAAAGGTAGCTGCCACTTTAAAACAGCCTTGTGAAAATAGCTGCCCGTACACTTGGTGATATTCTCACCGTTCAGAGAGTCAGGCAGCCTTTGAAAAGTTCTCCCTTACACTTTGGCTTCGAGCAACATCTATTCATATATTGAACAAAAGCACAGCAAAAACTTGAGTTAAGCCAGGGAACAGGAAAATGCCTCCTGAATTTTAATTAACAGAACACACTAGAAAATGACTGTACTACATTCTTAAGAATGCTTCCAAATCAGACTAACAAATTAAAAATGTTTCAAATCTCTTTAATAATTGAGTGCTACTCTCTAATTGGCTATTTAAATAAACTCCTTCTCAGCAGTTATTATAACAGCCGCTGAAGACACTAACACTCTGGTTCTTGTTTCAAAGAGAAGAAAGAAATACTTGAAAATGCAGTATTTTAACTACAGAAAAAAACTTTCAAGTATCCCAACAAGTAAGTTAGATACCAGTGACGAGTTATCTATTTCACTGTAGAATTCTAGAACATCTTTTTCTATTAACTCCAGACGTCTAGAAGGTTCAGATAAAGCCTGCAAACTTGAATTGTACTAACATTTACAGAACACCATGATGACCGAACATAGTATTTAAAATCCTGCAGGCAGCAGTGACGTGCAATGACCATTGCACACTGGATCCTGTCCTGCTGCTGATTAGGCAACAAAAAATAAAAGAATGCTTGTATCTTGAAGGTGTTGGCATCCTGACAACTGCAGCAATGACCGGCTCTTTTGTGTACACTTTAAAGGCTGTTGTAATCAAGACACAATTAAATCTTCAGTACTCCAAAGAGCACCACCTTCTAAAGTTTGCTTTTCAATTTGTACCAACTGTAGACTATTTCCTTTTCAAACTACCAGCCAATACTGAAAAAATATTAAAATGTTACAGTTGTTTGAACAGATTGGAACACAGAAATTAATCATGCACTGCACATAGCTGTAGAATGTAATAAAAACAAATTTAAAAGAAACTTCATAACCCGACAAAGCTTAAAATAATTTAGCTATTCTCATCTTCTTTGTTCATGGAAAAGTATAGCCCAGATACTTCCATCATGTGCATCCTTTTTAATATTATATATTAATGGAAAATGACTGATACTTCACATCTTTTTCTGTGAATGCTCAGTTTGCTCTGACAGGATTTACAGTAGATAGAAAACAGGATCGCATTTTATTTCTTATGCCTGTTGTAATCAATTTAGGGACATCATTTTTTTAGAAGAATTGGTGAGATACTCAGGCATTTATTTGGTTTCATCTCTCTAAGTAAAAAGAATCTCGAGCCCTGCTTCCCTGAAGAGAGCAGGGCTCAGGCACCATGAGGCACCCACACCTTCCAGCTGGCCCCGTACCACAAAGCCCCCTCCATCAAGAGTCTCACTGCAGGATTTCCTCTGCTTAGGTGAGATACCTTCTTCCCCTGCGCCTCTGCACTTCTCAGCATTTCCTTTTCACTTTGCAGTATTTGCCTTTTCCTTTTTCCCCCTTGCCTCGGCACTTCGCAGTATTTGCTGCTTTCCTTTTGCACAGTCTCACCATGTGATTACTGTACCCGCTGCGCTTGGCAGCACTTTCAATAGAAACCACTCAAACGGCGCAGTTCATTTTCCACTCAGAAACTCCTTTGGGGCCCTTATTTTAGGTTTCCTTAATTTCATCATTCTGAATCCTAAAAGGACTTCATCATTTTTGTATGTACACAAAACAAGGGAAGATTTGGTAGTCAGAAGCCAAAGTCAGCAGCCAAGACCGTGTACACTAGGTGCGATACAAACAGTAAAAAGATTCTAATACTAAAAGGCACATAGAAAATCTGCGCAAAGAATGCAGTGAATAATGCAGTAATGCTAACAGAACATCACAGGCCTCTGAAAAGGCTTTACAAATCAAGTATTTTTATTCTAAGTTAGGTCAAAAGGAGATGTCAAGGGAAGACAAATCAAACAGGCTTATGAAGAGAGGCTACAAAGAACTTCTCACCTTTAAGCAAGAACTGGAAAGGAACCAGCTCAGGCTGCTGCAGTCACTGAGTCATGCAATAGCCTTGGCCGTACAGCAACCCCCTAGTAACCATGGAAGATAAAACCTGACAATTACATCTGACCTGCCAAGGGACAACACAATAAAAGTTACACAAGTTTACTTTTTAGGGTTATATTAGTACTTAATAGGGCATTTACAAAAAAATAAATAAATAAATAAATCCAGACTCATGGCAATATTCTTGTATCTAAATACCACACCTGAGGTTGGGTACATTTAATTTTACCATACTAACACTTTATTCTTTTGTTGAGCTCTCAAAAGCTACATTACCAGAGCATTCTTTCACAATATCTTATAACACTATTCTAATTCACTGCCTGTGTTCCATTTTTACTTTGAAAAACTTGACTCTATGAAGTATTTGCTTTTCTAGCACCGATTCCTAAAAAGCTCTTCGTTCTCAGCTTATACCTGGGGGAGTCAACTGACCAAGGACCAAAATGTAGGCCAAGTAGCTTCCCAGGGATTCCAGAGGAGATGAATCCTCTGGTATAGTATGAATTTCTTTTGCATTTGTCGTCTTTCACAGGAATCATCACCTGAAGAGTTCCAACAGGCTCATTCAGTATTTGCCCTAGGCATTTATTACTTTTAAAAATACAAAATATTTCTATGAACGTAATAAAATCCCAACTAAATATCTGTCTTTCCTGTCTAGGCGATTTTGATCCTTAGGGTTTTGGGGGAGCGTGGCAGCCTAGATAGCCACAAGCAGCACACACTCATGATCAGGCTCTTTGCCCAGCCTTGCTGCTTCCTTATCCTTCACCAGATCCACTCCTGCAGACCAAAACACGCTCTCCATGGATTTACACAGCTGGGGCACAAAGCTAAGGAGAAATCTGTTGCTGGCAAGTTCCAAGTATTTTAAGAATATTGCCTTGAAAGCCTTTTAAATGCCACGAGTATTTTGGAAAAACTTAATTCACTCCAGAACTGGATACAGAGATGGGGGTACAAACCAGCCTGCCCGCGGCGGGGCTGTGACACGTTTACCAGGGATAAACCATGGGTCTCTTCCCCCTCCACGGCCGCCATCCCGCTAACCCCGCCCGGAACCCCCCCCACGCCGCAGGCGGGAAAGCGCCTCGCGTGCACGGGACAAACGGCCACGTTGGCCGTTAATTAACGTCTCCCGCCCCCCGGGGGGTGGGGGAGGAGCTCACGTGACCAGGAGCGAGCCGCCTGATTGGCCGGCAGCCTCGCGGCTCTTGAAGGGCGGCCGTTGGCGGTGGTGGCGGTTAGCAGCGTGCCCGTTAGGAGCGTGGCGTGCTCGGTGGCTTTGTTCTCTTTGTGGTGGGGGTCCTGTGCGCCATGCTCGGCCTCCTCTCAAAGACACTCTCCTACTTCTGGAGGCGTGCGGACAGCGAGGAGGGCCCCGATGGGAGCTGGGCGAGCTCAGGTAGACGTTCCTGGTCATGTCGTGGGTTTCTGGTGCCGCGTGCAGCTCCCACTGCGGAATCGGGCCCTGGTGTTGTGGATATTGGTGGTCTGGTTGTGTGGGGATAGGTTCGGGCCTGCCCTTGCTTAAGGAAAATGCTGACAGAAGAAAGAACAAAAAAAGGATTTTTTTTGACATCAAAGTATCTGGAAGTTGTCCTAAAAAAAGTTTTTCATTAAGTCATCTGATGAGTTCTGAGTGCTGTTACTGGTTAGTACAGTGTGAGGTGTAAAAGGAGTGTTGTGATAGTGGATGACAGAGCTTGGGTCACTTGTAATCCTGTCTTAGTAATTAAACTTATTTCCTCTCCTCCTTCTTGGACTGTTGAAATAGTAAATGGTGAAATGGTTTTGAGGCTTTAAACTTAAACTCAAGATGTTTTTAAAAGAATTATTTATTAGTTTTAGGTCAAATAATAAAAAAAAAAAAAAAAAAAGCTCCCTTGGTCGAGTCACTTAGACTGTTCTGGGCACAAGTTCTTCTTGTTGCATAAGTGTGAGAAAGTTTCTGTGTGCAGTTTGCTGCATCACAGGGCTTGTGATCAACTTGTTGGCTATTTTTGTGTACTAGCCTTTGTTAGCTACAATTCTCTGAATATTGTTACACAAGCCCCCACAGGAATGTGTTTCTTAACTGCTGTCTTTATGAATTAGGTGCATCGAGGATTGTAAAACCACAAGGGTTGTGGGTTTTACAAGGCTGGAGTCTTGCAATACCTTCTGCAGTGATACTCTTTTTTTAAGTACTATCTTTATGTTAAAAAATAATAATGGCTTCCAGTGTTAGGATGTTTTTTGTCTATTATTGTAATATATGTAGGTTTTAGGATAATACTAATTTGTCTTTGTGTTGGACCAAATGAGAAGAGAAATGTGGGGAGGTTTAAGTAGTTTGGAGAAGCTTTCCAGGCAACCGAAGTAACACTATAGATTTTTCAGGCCTGACAAATGAACTAGGATAAATTAAAACATATATCACAAATAGTGCGTTCTCCTAAGTAGAAACAAGTGCGTAATGCTAAAAGACACAAAGACTTGAAAGAGGCAGATCTCCAAAGAAACAGCACCCCTTCTCGGTTCTCATGTGTATTAACTTTTATATCAACTAAACTACTTTTAAGGGGCCTACTTGTATAGCATCAGTTCTTGTTTCTTCTCCCACTTTCTGCAATACAGAAATTTTAACTGTACTACATAAAATGGTAGGTGGTGGCCAGCTGGTAGCCAGCGGTGGCCAGCGATAGGACGAGGGGTAATGGCCACAAGCTGAAGCACAAGAAGTTCCGTCTCCAGGTGAGGAGCAACTTCTTTACTGTTAGGGTGACAGAGCAGTGGAACAGGCTGCCCAGGGAGGTTGTGGAGTCTCCTACTCTGGAGCTCTTCAAAACCCACCTGGATGCCACCCTGTGCCACATGCTCTAGGTGTGCCTGCTTGAGCAGGAAGGTTGGACTAGATGATCTGTAGAGGTCCCTTCCAACCTTAAATATTCTGTGAATCTGTGAAATGTTATGAACTGTTCATTTTTTTGTGGAAAGTATGGAAAATATTTGGCCATTTCCTTTGGGAGGAAGTTGTTTAGCTTGCAGTGTTTTTTTTTTTAATATAAAATTTTTAAATGGAGCTTAAAAAGATCGCTGTAGAAATTAAATTGCTTGGGTTTAACCAGTTTTCATTATTATTTGAAACCATAACAACTTATGAGGGAGTTAAATGTTTATCTGTGAATTGTTGACACAAGCTGTGACTTCTGTCAAAGTGATAGCAGTTCTGTGAGTAACCAATCTGTCTTCATGCCAACACTTTTTCTCTAGATTCAGGTGATAAAGAAATAAAAATTGTAGAAGGAGTCGTGACACGATTTTGCCATGATTATGGGATGATAGATGACCTGATAATCTTCACAAATGATGCGGTTGTGAACGGTGTGATGTTGACTGTTGGACAGAAAGTTATTGCTACTGTTGAAGAGGACAAAATATCAAGTGGCTTGAAGGCCATTAGGGTAAGAGGTTGATAGTCTCACTTTCTCTGTGAAGTAGTTCTTTTAGACTTTATTCTGGAAGCCACTATGATTTTACGCTTACAAATGGCACAAATGTAGGAGAAATTGCCAGTCTTTCACCTAAGGGGGTCAGGCTATGTGTGTGTTTTGGGGTCACGTTTTTGACATTTCCTTTAAATTGTTCATTTGCTTTAATACTTACTGTCTGAATTTCAGTCTTGATGTGGTGAACATGACAGTATTGTTTGTGATAACTGCATCACAACTTAATCATACCTACTTCAAATATATATACGTGTGTATATTTTTTAAATTAAGAATTCCTTTTATAAAATTACTGTGTGAATGAATAGGAAAACAAGAATGTTGGCTATGCAGAAGAGCAAACAGAAATGAATAAGAAGACAAATTTCAGAACCCTTTATTTTCTAGGGCAGAAGAAAATGCAACTAAAGAATGTCTCAGAGACTTGTTTAAAAGATTTTAGTGCTGATTTTACTCGGTGCGTCTGTAGATGTACTTTAAGATGGATTATCTGCTGCTTCAAATTTAAGATGCTGTAATTTTCTTCATCAGGTAGCCTGAACTCTCAGGTGCCTGTGATAGCTTCTGTTAGTCTGACTCTTGTCCAAAATTCCTTTCTTAGTTCGGACATGACGTAAACATAACTGTTTTCACATGCTGACATTAGCACCAAGGGAGCTGATAACCTGCTGGGTACACTCTTTTTTGACTTCTGCCGCTGGGCTTAGCTGTGTTATCCTTTGAGCACAGCACTAGACTAGTGTATTTGGCAAGTTCTAGCTGGACTCAAGCTATGTGTTTGGAGCCGATTGCAGTAAAGTTCTGTTTAGAAGTTAATTTTTATTCTCTAGTAAGTATTTTGTAATTAAAGATCTTCCCACCTTACATTATATGTAAAGAACAAACAAATATAAGGGCCTCAGGCCTAAAGTTTTAAATAACTTACTCATAGTTTGCCTAACTGTTATCAGATTGAAGAGTTCATTGTTAATGAGTGGGTGAGTGGGTTTTTTTTTTTTTTTTTTAATAGAACTATTAGTAAATAGTTTCATATAGTCTGGGGAAAGGAAGTCAAAAATGCTATACTGATTAATACATAGTGTTTCAAGTTCCTCATGACTCACTTCTGTGTCCAGTCCTGGTTTTGATGCATCAGAGACATTTTAGGCAGCTGACAGCATTGTGCAGGCATAATCAATGATTTTATGGAAATGAGTTTAAACGTTTCTAGCTGGAGCAAGGAAGCTTTGAAAGACAAAAGTAACCAATTTGTAGAGCAGCAACTCCTGATTCCAAGATGATGATTTTTTTTCTTTTTTAAGCAGGGAAGAGAACTAGCAACTCTAGGAATTCTTACAGTGTTTATGGATTAACAGATGCTGTACCATTGCTCTTACATGGCTGGGGTAATGGCTTTCATTACATAAATGATGTCTTCTGGTTTGTATTCTGCCCAGGGCTGGTTAAGCAAGTAAACTTGCTTCTGAGGTGATGATGAAGAAAGCCTGTAAGAAGCAGCTCTCTTGTAACATCTTAGCAGTATCTTGAACATGCTCATTCTGTTTTCTTCAGTAGTGATGCTCTAGTTCCACTACTATAAAGTCAAATTATTATGTTTGGGGCGGGGAAGTTCCTCTTGTCAGGTTGAAGATAAATTTTTGGATACACTTAGGGCAAGAGGAAGAATAAGAAAGATTGACCAATCTGCATGTAATTCTAAATTGCCGATGCTGAACCATACAGCATACTACTTAAGGCAAGCAACTTGCATTTTACCATCTACTACTACTGCTACCTTGCAGTAGTGAATGTCTAAAGAGGGGGTATAATTGCCTAATAAGGGACTTGGCTTTTGGAAGCAGTTGAAATTCTCGTGAAAGTGAAATTCACTTTGTAATAGTGGTACGTGTAACTTAATGCTTTATAGAATAAACGTGTAGAGTAACAGCTGTTTGAATGGTGGTGTGTTTATTGTTTCCATATTAATAGGTAGAAGCAGTCTGCAGCACATGGGAAAACTCCAATCCTACTTACGGTGCTTCTGAAAGGAATACAAAACTACTAATTGGTAATATTACCTCTCTCTCCAAGGATGGTGGCTACATTAATCAGCAAACTTTTTTTGCAATGGAATCTGTTTGTGAAGGTTTGTAGAGGGTTTTTTTTGTGTATGTGTGTGCCAAGGGTATATGCAATGTGAAAACATCTGATTAAGAGTGTGTGTATATACATGTCTGTGTATATTTTTATACATAAGCATATTCTCTGTTAAATGTGTATTTCACGTCCCTGAAAAATGTATGAGTAAGGCAAATGTAAGGATTTGGGGCAGGAAAGTTACGTATCCGTTCTCACTGAGCATAACTTACTTTCATCAGGACCAAATGTATGTTTTTCACTGGCATCTCTTAGGTACTTGGACATAACATACTGAGGATAGAAAGCACAGAAAAGATTCAGTGAATCTAACTTGTTCTTGATGGTCAGTTTTAACTTAAATTTGTTCTGTATGGGAGTAATCTGAATGCCTTGCATAGCACTTCAACTTGAAAATCTGTGTTTTGTATAGGTTTCGAACCCTATAAAGGTGACTGGGTACAAGCTAAATATTTTATTAACCCAGCAACATGGAGCAGTGAAGCAGTTGCTGTGAAACCTTTGAGATACAAGCGGGTGGACAAGGTAAATGTGTTTATGATAGTTTTAGTAATAAATCTTCCATGATGAACAGATTTTTGGAGCTTTTAAGGTGCAGATATTGCTAGGCCATTTCCAATATCCCTTTTATAATATACCTGATATCACAATAAAGTCAAATATATGTATATGCCTACAAATATAAAATGTAAGCATAGGCTTAAGTGCAGGCTAATGCTTATCTGAAACATTTCTTTCTTATGTTTTGGTTTTTTGTTTGTATTTCTCTTAGGTAAAAAAAAAAAGCTATTACAGATTAGTTCTATATATTTATCTGCCTTCAATAACTGAAGTTTAGGTTGTAGTTATATTAATGCATAATAGTAGAATGACTGATGCAGAAAGCAGTTTAGTTCTAGTAGACCTTTTAGCTGAAGTGGTGATATCAAGTAATCAAGTATAACAAATGGTTACAGGTTCAGATTTCCAGCATCTGTGGAAGAAATGGTACAATAGATGAAAGTATATTTTTCACTTTGGATTCAGTGAGGCTTCCTGATGGTTATTCGCCTTGTGTACATGACCTAGTGAATGTGATTGTGGTGGAAAGTAATCAATCGTGTTACATTTGGAGAGCTCTCTGTTTGACTCCCGTTGATCAGAATGGGTAACGTTCATTCTCTTGTTCTCTTTCTACGTACTAAAAACTAGAGATGAATTGTCATTATACAGGTAAAGCTTGTAGTCTATATCAAGTAATACTGTGGTGTAGTGCTCTGCATAGACTAGAAGGCATGACAAATAATTGTGAAGGTTATAGTGATATGTTTCACCCATGCTTTTTTCCCATTCCTTTAAGGAGATGGGAACATCCATACTCCTTAGAAAAGCAAGACTAGCATCAGTGGAGTTCAGTGATGGAGCAAGGAAGGAATTTTACAGTTTCATCGGAAAAAAGCTAAGCCTGTGATCCTTCGTGCTTTTTCTAATCTGTGCTGTTCTGCTAGCAAGAACTTCACTGCTTGAAAACTGAATCAAACTGCTGTGAAATGGATGTTTCCTTTGATTTATTGTGCTGAAGTGCAGTTTTTCAGGAGGAAAACGCTGAGTGATTCTTCACATCAGACCTGTCCTAAACAGAACAGTTTAGTGATTTGAAATAATAGAGGTCTGCTAGGTTTGCAAATATAATCAAATTGAGAGGTTCTGCAAGCACTTTGGATGGCTAATTTGGGATAAGGAGGAACAAGGCATAAGAGGTTGACAGAAATAGATACTCAATCTGGGGAAGAAACAGAACTCCTTCTTCCCTCCCACAAATATGTGGAAACCATAATCTTTGGGGGAACTTGCCCTGTTTCACATCTAGGAAAGGCAGCGTGTGGATCTTTAGAGGAGCTAATAATAATGAGAAAAGGTCTTTGTTTTCACTGAAGATAATGTAGTGTATGATTGACTTCAGTTGTACCTAGACGCAAGTGTATATGTTTAATGTCTAACCTGATTCCTTTTCATAGGAAGGAGAAATACTGGAAGAGTTTCTGTTATGTTGGAATTGAAAGGGAGCTATGGAATTACCGCTGAAGTTTAGAAACAGGTTATCAGGAGTCATTTTGGTATAGCTGCCTGTGCCTTTCTCTGCCATATGCCAAGTCAGAAACTGGATAGCCCTTCAGAAATGTGAAAGACATCTCAAGTAAAACTCTTGAGCAGTGAGTCGTTACAAAACGGTGCTTCACTAATGAAAATCACATGCAGTGGCAAGTGCAATACAGAACTTCAGTGTAGCATCAGTTCTTTTTTGTTGTTGTTTATTTGTTTTCTCCTTTATACAACTGTACAATTGTTCATCTGTTTTTCCATTTGGACCTATTTTTACTCACTGATAGATTAGCCACACAACTTTTACGGAAACCAAATCATAACAGTTAGACCTTATGCTTTTTTCAATTTTACTGTATTTCCTGGCATATCAGAACCTGAGGCAGGGTAAACTGCAGCAGGAGACACCTAGTGGGCTTTCACAGTAAGATCTGGCATAGTTATTGCCTTAGGTAATTAAGGAGTACTTAGGGCATGTAAATAGTGGAGAGATTTTTAAACTTTTTGAAGTGTTGTAGTGCCATTGTATTAGCTAATAAAGTAGCTTACTAATTCTAGGACCAAAATATTGCAGTGTTCTTTAGGTAACTGTGACTGAGAGGTTGGCCACGGTCATCCTCCGGGAGAGTGTGACTTCAGTTTGATACTGTTCTTGTCAGCAGCGTGTGCAGTAGCATCTTTTCAGGTCTTTTCACTTATCCGAAGTTAGGGCTGCAGATTGTAGCCATAGGCAGGAGAGGTGATAAGTAGGTTCTTTGGAAACCCGCTCAAGCAAAAGAGAACAGAAATTAGCCACCGTTCTCCAGGTCTACTCATCTCCTAAGCTCAAGTACTAAACAGAGCTCTTGCTAAGTGCCTAGCTCTTTCTTGTGTTTTGGTTGAGCTCTGAAAGAGACCTACAGGACTATGTGCTTCTTTTGCCATTTAGCTCAGTTCTTAACAAAGACCAGATAGCTTCTGAATCATTTTAATCTTGTAATCAAAGTTCTGGACCTGGCTTATTGTGCTGCTGCAGAAAGCCTTGTTCTTCAGTTTCTGATTAAGCTAGTAAAGGTAACCAAGTGATTTTGGAAATAAGTAGTTGAGCATTCCAGCTTACCTGCTCCTTTTTAAACCTGGGACAGTGTTTTAGTCTAGTAATTCCCAAACTTGTGCTGAATTGAAGATATTTCCTGAGTCTATTTGTGTGTGTTTCAAAACCACTATATATAATTTTGTCTTCTTACAGACTATCTCACTCTAATGGAGTGAATATGGATGAGCCATATGAAAACCTAGTGAAAGACAAAGGAGGATTGGAGGTATCAAGAATGACTAATTTTGGAACCCTGAAGCAGGGAGAAACTAAAAGCATGATCATTTGGATAGAGTAAGCCTTTTCAGTTGTTTAAGCTCCCTGTCTTTCCACCGGGCCATAGTCTGTGTACCTGCTCTTCAGACAGAAGCCTCCCCCATATTGGTCTTTGTGGTTTTTAACCTTTGAG